AAAGAGTTTGGAGGCGTGAACTGCGCTGAATCTTTATACTCAGAAATGCGAGGGAAGGTTACGCCAGCTTGGAGAGCTGAGGAGTAGCACCTAGAAGTTTTGCCTCGGACATTTTGTCCTCATAAGTGTTTTTTGGGGCTACCACATCACAGTTCATGCTGCTTCTTTCTTGTAAACAATTCTGTGACAGCCCCTGGGTCAGGGACTAAAAATTGCCCGTCCCACGCTGCCTGCCCCGGAGAGCCTGACATGGCCAACGTTTCTTTAAAAGCTCACTTCAGAGTTCTATGTTTCTGAGAAAAGACACTATTCTTAGCTACAGACACGTGGAAGAATGCAGGGAAAAGAGATTCCAGATGCGCTGGCCGCGAGGGCCCTCTCCGTGAGTAATGCGGGAGGAGCGAAGAGGATCGGCTGTGCGAATGCCATTCCTTGCCCCGAGAGCAGTTGGCTCATCCTCACCAGTCCCCCAAAGGCAGCCAGCGAAGGCTCGTAGGCTCCCGTCCGTGTCCCCTGTAAAAACCTGCGCGGTCCCCGTGGGAAGGCTGCGGGACACCGCAGCGAGATCTCCCGTGCACCGACGCCTGCGAGGGCCGGGGTGTCAGCGGTGGGCATCGCCAGTAGCGCTTAGAGATGGAAAGGACCAAGGACGTCACCTCCTGCCGAGGCAAGGTTGCTTCTGTCCGCTCCACAGCAGCTCCTCTAGATGGGCAAGTGACCGCCTGAGGGACTCCAAGGCTTTTAAACCTTCCTTCCCTTTTGCTTCTCTGCACAGCTGTCGTGCTGCTGCTCTAATTACCCAGCGGTAACAGTGCTTGGCCACTGGTATTTTGAGATCACGTTTGTGGCCAGAAAAATAGTTTACGATGGCTTTAGAGAAAGTTCTGCTAGTAATTTAGCAGATAAAAACCAAAATCTTCTGCTCTACATAGTAACGTGCTGGTTTGACGTATGACAGTATGAATAAACTTTCCTCAGCGTAAACAGTAACTTGGGTCTTTCCAAGGAAGAAAGCCACAAAGCTTAATTTAAATTCTTTCCGTTACTACTGATAAGTCAGACAAACTGCAGCCTCAACCCTGCCGTTTGTCCTGGGTGGAAGGAAGGATCTGCGTGTGCCGTTAATTGCTCAGCACGTGCAGTATTAATGAGGCTGCTGCTGATTCAGACGCAGCGACAACGAAGCGCATAAGCCTATGCTTAAGCCTGGCCCTGGTTGTTGGGTAGGTATTCCTGGAGAGGGTGATGCTGACGGCTGCACATCTTGTTCCGTAGAAGATGATGCTCTTGTTGTTCCTTTAAAACCCAGTCAAGTGTAAACAAATTAGTTTCCGTAAGAGCAAGTGAGGTAAGGTCTGACAAATTCTACCATGTTTGTAGAAGGATGCACCCTCACGCAATAAGCATGTTTTATTGCCATTTATATTTCATCCACATTTTGCATTTTAGAATTAGATATTGTCCAGCTATAATTGGACGTGAAAATGCAAGAACACATCAAGCATGCTCTCCTAGCCTTCTCCAGCAAAGCTGTTTTGCTGCACATGCCAAAGGTAATTTCAGAGCCTGTTAAATACAGAATTTATTACTTGCTGGTGACATCTGATGAACTTGGGTCTCAACACATGACTGCTGGATGAGGTAGCCTTTTTTGGTTTGTGTCTCCCTTATTAAAACAGTGGAAAGCGAGGCAACTTGTTTATCTAGAAGGAGTGTCTGCTCAGCTGGAGACAGGACAAAAACCCACCCTCCGTTCTCCCGGAGGATGTCAGCGCTGTCCTCCAGCCGTGCTCTGCCATGTCTGCTTGAAGAGTCCTGCAAACGCGTATCTTTGCTGTCAAAGATGTGGGAGGTGTTTAAGGAGTTCTCAAATCCTTTAAGTCGTCTTTGAAAACACTCTTCCTCCCCTTGTCAAATATAAAATACAATATAGTGTTACTAAACTCTGGGCCTCAGAAATAACAAGGGTTATCCTGAGTAACTATGACTTGCGTGGGACGAAGACATCTCTGAGGGCAGAAGATGGTCTTCCCTTAGTCTTGGACGTATCGGCATACGGCATGCGACCGATCACTGACGTAACTGCTCATTTTCTTGCAACAGTGCTAACAGAAAGGGTCATTCAGTAGAACTCACTTCTCTCCTATGTCTACCGTAGGGCGTCTTGGAGAGCTTTCTGGGCACGGCGGTCACCGGTGCGATATTTTGCCTTTTTGCTGGTCAGCCACTCACAATTTTGAGCAGCACAGGACCTGTCCTTGTCTTTGAACGGCTTCTCTTTAATTTCAGCAAGTAAGTACAAGGGTGGAGGAGGGAGGAGGGGAGGAATGTCTCACACTAATGAAATGCTAGCTAGGGAATGAGGTGGCCAGCGGTGGGGACGGAGGGGATTTAGTGCACGACATGAAACGTCTCTTTGTTCCTTGTTGAGATTGCAGTGCAATCACGTCGGGCATTTTCCAGGCACGCGTGTCCCAGAGCGCTGCCCGCTGTGAGGCTGCGTATCCGCTTGGGGCCTCTTGGAAATTCCTGACCAAGCCTGTCCTCGATGAGAAGTTTGCACTAGTTAGAGTCGGGCTGCTGTTCCCCCCCAGCCGCCGCACGTGCTTCCCTGCCTGCCGGGTATTTCTCGTAGGAGCAAAGAAAGGAATCCAAGTCTCGGTGATTGTACTAACAAACCGCCCCCCCCCGCCCACGTCTCAAAGTTACCAAAAATCTTAAATCAATACTCTTAAATCAGACTCTTAAATTACCTTAAATCAGTACTCTTTTGAAATATCACACCATTGTTACTTATAAAAGCAAAAATACCTATGATAGAAACAGGTATCCGTGTCAGTCCCCAGAATTCCTCGCTGGAGCTTTGCTGCATTAAATGCTCTTGGGTTTTTTGGTTTTTTTTCCTTTTAACTGCTGTAAAGAGGTTCTGCTCCCTCCCCTCCATGTTAACGTTGATGCAGTGATGGCAGTTGACACCCAGAGCCAAAGGGAGCCCGTTTTATTGGGTGTTCTCATTTGCTATTCCCGCAAAATACGATGAGAATCCCTAAAGGAATCAGCATATTCGTTGATGGTTTTACATGTATATTTTTTACATATATATTCTGTATATACACGTATATTGGTGGTTTTACATGTAGGACTATTGATGCTTTGGAGGCTGTTTTGCAAGGAGATCATTCTCGGTTATACAGAAACCGCCCCGAATCACTCGTAACCCTCCCTTCACCCGTCAGGGAGCATCCCAAGTGTTGCAAGTTGTGAAGGACTTGGGTTGCAGCACGCAAAGCCAAGAGCTTTTGGAGTTAAGGCATTAACTTTCTTTCAGAAGCAGTCGCCAGTGGTGACGTGGAACGGCTCTTCAGCCGTTGGTGGTTATTTTTAGAAAAGGTCTAATGAGTTATTAAGCTGAACAGGGCTGCAGGTTGCAATAAGGCAGGAGACGTGGTGTATGTTTGGTTGTTGAATTGTGTCTCCTTCCTTATTATATTTAATCTCTGTGGGTGGTCACTCAGAAGTAATTAAGAGCATATAATCGTGTCCTTCCTGTGAAGACCCTATAGGTTGGACAAGTCTTTTGAGGGACAGACCTTCAGCTGTTTTCCATTCAGGGATATTTCCATGCGATCCCGCACACACTGTGCTACACGGGACTCTCCTGGTGTGAGGTGATTTGGTTTGATGCCTTAACTCACTTGATAATACACAAAACTAGTGCAGGGCAGGGGGAAACGGGCAGGGTCTGCTCCTCCTGCTGCGTTCCCGAAGTTGGTGTTGTGTTATACTCGGTACCGTTGGCTTTGAAGCCTGAACGGCCTCGCAGCACGCTCTGACTGCTGTTAGACCGAGCCGTACTCACGCCGAGCCGGGGAGAAGCTCAGCTTGGAGGCGAGGGTGCCGCCGAGAGACGACTTTGACCTTCACGTGCAATGCAGTCCCCTCCTGCCCGGCCCTGGGACCGCCGCTCTCTTCAGCACAGTCTGCTCGGTCCTGCCAAAAAGGGGCAGAGGAGATGCGCTGGAGCGTAGGCAGGGAGGGATGGAGGCTAGAAAAAATGGACCGAAAATCAGAGTAGCCTGGGGAGGGAAACTGGCAGCTGCCAACTGGTGAGGGCTCCGTAGCGGAGCGAGAGAGGGGCACCTTTCTTTTCTTTGTTAGACTGGAATAAATGAATAAACCCAGGAATAGATACGCTCTAGCTGTTTGCATCAGGCGGGCAGGTCAAAGCCCAGGTGCAGCACGCGGAAGGAAAAAAGCAAGATGGAAAAACACTTTGTACGGTTTTGGGAGGGAGAAGGTGGTTATTTTTAACCCGAGGAGGAGGTGGTAGTTATAAAAGCTATTGTCCTAACAACCTGCTGGAGCAGAATGGCAGGATTTTTCGAGGCAGCCCTTCTCACAAGGAAATTGGAATAAAGTACTGTGATTTTTCTGTAACGCATTTGTGGTTGTTCATATTCACAACAGCCTGTTCCCTGCTGGGAGCAAAATTAGAACGATTTCCCAGCTAGCGATTAATTTAAAGTTTGACTCCGTGTGTGTGTACACGGAGAGGAATCTAAGAAAGCCTGGTGTAGCCAGCTGTGCTTCTCGCTGTGGGTGCCTGCAGGAGTGGCGCTCGCCGCGTTGCCGGCAGAGCGGGTCGCTGCTGCGGGGACGCCGCGGGTGAGCTCTGCTCCCGTGCCGAGTCTTGCCGATGCCTGTTGTGACACGAGCCGGGGTTTCCGACTGGAGGCAGCGGGAGGCGAGGCAGTGGGCTCCCTGGGAACGCAGGACCCCAGCCCTTCTGCCTTCCAGCCGGCTCTTGGGAAAGTTTCCCCTCCTGAGACCTCAGAAAGAAAATTAATCACAGTGAAAGCCTGCTGTACTGGGGATGTGAAGCGTCCCGTGCTTTTTCATTTGCTCTGTGAGCTTCAGGAACGCCACAAGGACTTTGAGGGGTAAAAAAAAAAAAAAAGGAAGGGGTGAAAAAAAAAATAAATATTTCAAACCTTTTCAAAGTTCCTCGGTGGTGATGGCCAGGATGCCACCCGGGCTGCTGCCAGCCCCTTCTCCACGCTCGGTCAGATGGCTGGCAGCTCCTGCTCCCTGAGGCACTGGCTCCGGCTACTTCAGAGAGCTGTCACTGGGGTCTTCTATTATTAT